TGTCCTCCCCACCCTGCCCTCTGCACTCCACCACACTCATAAGCCGGCCCAGACCCAGCGCTCCTCGTTTCTGACTCCGCAGGGCTATTCAACCAGTGGCCGATTTTTATCCAAATAATTAGGTTCTAGAGTTTTCCATGAAGCTACACATGAGCACTGGAAAGAAGTTCCAAATATCCAAGAGCTCCTCATGAAACACATCTACTTTCACCCTTTAGGTCAGGTGTGGCATGGCCTGATGGGGCCTTCTGTGCCAATGTTCATGACCATTTCGGTGCCAAAGAATACAGATCAGAAGAAAGGAACTACTGAGGCACCTGGGTGGCTCAGTTGGTTAACCATCCTGACTCCTGGTTTTGGCTCAGGTCACGATCTCGCAGTTTGTGGGTTTGAGCCCCACATCGAGCTCTTTGCTGTTAGTTCAGAACCTGCTTCAGATCTTCTGTCTCCCTCTCTCTCAGCCCCTCCTTCACACAATCTCTGTCTCTCTCAAAAATAAACAAACATTAAAAAAAAAAAAAAAAAAAGAGGGAACTACTGACATACTGTGTAGCATGGATGGACCCAGAAATGTTGGGCTCAGTAAAAGAATTCAGACACAAGAGACAACATACTGTATGATTCCATTTGTATGAAATGTCCCAAAAAGGCAAATTTATAGAGAAAGAAAGAAGATTAGTTGTTGCTTGAGGCTAGGAGTGGGAACAGGAAGTCATTGTAAATGGCATGAGGGATCTTACTAGGGGAACAAAAATGTTTTCAAGCTAATCTTTGGCGATGGTTGTATTTCTCAGTAACATTACTTAAATTCATTGAATTGTATTCCTGAAACGGGTGAATATTATATGATGTAAAATACATACCTCAATAAATTTCAATATTTTATGATACCTAACCACGCCTTCTTTTTTTGTTTAAAAAAAAGAAGTGCCTGTGTGGTTCAGTCATGTAAGCATCCAACTTCAGCTCGGGTCATGATCTCACAGTTCATGGTTCTGTGGTGACAGCTCGGAGCCTGGAGCCTGCTTCAGACTCTGTGTCTCCCTCCCTCTTGCCCTGCCCTCCTTCCGCTCATGCTGTTTGTCTCTCAAAAATAAATATTAAAAAAAAATTAAAAAGAACACATGAAAAGAATAGGGCCCACATTAGACCTGGGAGCTTCGAAGTTTCACATTATAGTTTGGTTATAAGGAGGCTGAGGTATCCTGGGTATGACAGAGATGTCAGAACTCCACTGACTAATAGGTGGTTGACTCCACTTCAGACTGTAGAGTCCATTCTTAAAATAAGATCGCTAAAAATTTGTATTTGGACAAGTTTGATGACCTCTTTCCTGAGCTCCTGTCTTATGGACAGAACAGTTAGGAGGACCCTGGTTGGTTCTCTGGTGGTGTGGACTTCAAGGGAGGTCTCTGCCCACCCTGCCCTTTGTTCCCAGCCTTTCTCTCCCCTCCCCAACTTACTTCCTTACACAAGTCATACATAGTTACTGTAGAAAAAGAGCACTGATAAAAAAATTTAAATTGCACATAATACATTAAACACTTGTTTCAGACTTACTGTTCAAATTCCTATGTCTCACTGGCTGAATAACCCACATTGAACATATTCGATGCATTTTTTTATTCACTCCTGGAAATGGAATTTCTAGGTCATAAGGGATCCATTCTTTAAAGAAAAAAATTTTTTTAATGTTTATTTTATTTTTTGAGAGAGAGAGAGTGCAAGCACGGGAGGGGCAGAGACAGAGGGAGACACAGATTTTGAAGTAGGCTCCATCCAGGCTCTGAGCTGTCAGCACAGAGCCTCACGTTGGGCTTGAACCCACAAACCGTGAGATCATGACCTGAGCCGAAGTCAGATGTCTCACCGACAGAGCCACCCAGGCAAGGGATGCACTCTTAAAGTTGTTCATACATACTGCCCAGTTGTTCCCCCGAATTTACCTGTGCAATGCGGATTTTCATTATATGTGAGTCTAAAATGTGATCTGGCCACCAGAATGGACTGTGCTTGTTGGCCTCGAGATAGGTTATTTATCCTGTGCAGAGTAGGGAAGATGGTGTTGTGAGTCTGCCCCAAGGTAATCAAATGATGCCTGAGCTATTGATTTTAATCACGGGCACAAGGCATTCACTGAGACCGGCCATCTGAGTCTGGGCAGGACACGATGGCCAAGATGGGACACTGTGCTGTATGAGGGCTAATTGAGGCACCAGGGACTCACTCTGGAAAGGATATGAGTAACTTTCTTCGAGCATTTGAAGGGCTGTCATGTCAAGAGAAATTAGATTCATTCCATGTGGTTCTAAGAGCAGAATAAGCAGAGGGTTACATGTTCTAGGAAAAGGCAAGATTCGGTTTAATGTAAGAAAGCCCTGCCTAACAGAACAGAATCTGAAAATGGATTGGGCTCCCCTTCCTTATCATGAATCCCCCTTCCCTCTACATCCCTGGAGATGTTCCAGCAGGCCAGATGCCATTTGGATGCAGAGGCATGGCATGTGTGTGAAGGGAATTCATCATGCGGATTTGATCTGGGGACCTTTGAGAAAAGTTTAGAACTATGAGGCCATGAACTTGAAATCACAGCTCTGACTGTAACAGTCTATGGCAGGGCCAGATGAAATAGTCTGCAAACACCATTCGTCCCATTAATTGTTTCTTGGAGCAAGGAAGTAATTTATTGACTCTTCTAATCTCACATTTTCTGGACTCTGCCTCCTGGTGAATGAGAGTTTAGGGTTTTGACAGTCTTTGACATCTAGTTCAGTTCACTTATTGTAGTAGCTGTGTTGGGAGAGTTGGTTTTTCTCAGTTGTTTGTGTTCTCCTTGTATTTTATGCTGTGCGCCAATCTGGTTCCCTCAGACCCTAAGACTCCTGCTTCTGGTAGAAGGTAAAGGGGATGATTTTCACATATCATTCATCTCTGTTGCTTTTTCATCTTAAAAACAACAACAACAACAACTTGAGTATTGGTTTCAGTATTTAAAAAAAAAATTTTTTTTTTTAACGTTTATTTTTGAGACAGAGACAGAGCATGAACAGGGGAGGGGCAGAGAGAGAGGGAGACAAAGAATCCAAAACAGGCTCCAGGGTCTGAGCCATCAGCACAGAGCCCGACGCGGGGCTCGAACTCACGGACCTCGAGATCGTGACCTGAGCCGAAGCCGGACGCTCAACCGACTGAGCCACCCAGGCGCCCCATTGGTTTCAGTATTTTTTAAGCTAAACCATACTTTTGCAGTGTTCTGAGTCCTGACTATGTTGAAAAGCGGTACTTTTCCTTTGAAGAAATGACCAGTGTTTTAAACTGTGTCTTTTAGCGTTTTTAGATGCATGTTTTTCTTATCTTGGTATTGATACTTTGGGAAGTTAAAAAGTAGGTAGTCCACAAAATCTGTAAGAATATGTGGGAAACTGCCTGTCTAATTTTAATGCTTCTAAAGCACAACTGGTCAAACAATCACTTAACCTTTGGCCCCTCAAAGTGTAGTCTGGAGAGCAGCAGCAAGGGCGTTCCCCCACCCCGCCAAGTGAGCTAGAAACGCAGAATCTTCAGCTCCAGCCTGAAGCTACTGAATGTGCATTTTAACAGGTTGACCTGACAGTGCCCGGTTGTCAGACTTTCTCAGGAGACTAGCTGCAGATCCTGTGGGTAACAGCAATTCTCTTACCTTGGTGTTTGGTTTTGAGCACCTGATAATGTACCTGGCATTGCGACTAGGTTCTTTCACGTGCCTGAGCCCATTTAATCCTCAGAATCACTCTCTCAAGGAGGTATTATTAGAGGCTCAGAAAAGCTGTCACCCAGCCTACCAAAAGTGTCACTATAAGAAGCTGTTTTCTGGAGTCTGTATTTCCTACACCTGAGTCAGGAAAATGGAGGCCTGGGAGTGTCACGGTGGCCTAGTGAAGCCTTCAGTCGTTCCAGCTCTTTGCTTGAGTGACCCTGGGCTTCCCTGCTTCCTGGCAGTGGAGGCTCGGCTGCCAGCCTCTGGCCCTTCAGCGTCCAGTTGTAGCTTAGTATGAAGGGCCCGGAGGAAGTCACTTCTGACACATCTCCCCTGCAGGCTGGCTTCCTGAAGCCTCCAGTACAAAAGAAGTTCAGGGACCTAGACAAACGCATTTCTCAGGAATTGCTTACACCAAAATAGGCTGTGTGTGTGTGTGTGTGTGTGTGTGTGTGTAGCTTCCATTTCCTTAAAATCTTCTCATTTAAAAGACTAGATATTTATTGAAAGTTTGTTCTCACATTCCAGTTCTCAAGCCTTTAGGATGTCCTGTTCTCATGGATTCTGAGAAGGGATATACAATGAGTAATAAGAAACCACCTTTAAGCATTAAGTACTATTTCTTCTTTCCTGCCTACGTTCCTCTGGTTGTGTTGGAAATCTAAGAATGAGTCCGTGTCACACTTGGTGTACCGCAGAAAAAAGCGACTTATAATCCTAGTAGAAAACTCACAACTGGGGAATGGCAGGATTCCAACATTTGCCAACATGTGAGATGCCGTGAACCATCCTGGGGGGGGGAAAGAGAGGTTATAATTACATCTGTTTAAAAAATACCACTTAGCAAAATTCTGATTACTAAAGCAAAATTAGTATAACAATTGGGGGCCAGTTTATGTATTTTGCAATTGTTTATTTACCAACTCAGCCCCCGAATGGGCATCCTAGATGGCATCTAAAAGGAGGGAATGTTCTAAAATCCACCCAACCCTTCCCTGTACCGCTGTAACGTTTTTTTCACCTCCATTTTATCAAAAGTCGGCCAAATTTCAACTCCCTGCCCACTGCCGTTGGTGGTATTTTTGTTTCTCTTTGGGTATCATCCTGTCTTCTTTTTCTTCACCGCTGACATCGGCTTATTTCGTATGAACGCGTGATACATTAAATACATATACGTTTCAAATGTTTTGACTTGTCTGTGAATCGTTTCTCTTAAAGGGCCGGCCTGGGGAAGTGAGTAATGTCTCGCGTCCTGTTGTTGTAGGAGGGATTTTGAACCGCTTCTCCAAAGACATCGGGCACATGGACGACTTGCTGCCCCTGACGTTTCTGGACTTCATTCAGGTAATGCTGGCAGTGACACCAAGTTCTCGCATGGGAACTGCAGTTCCTGTTCTTTCCAGTCCTTTCCTTGGGGGCCGTGGGTGGGCCCTTCGGCCTGACGAAGTCGCGTTATCTTCGTAAAGGCCGTGGTGGTAAGAGGAAGGTGTGGTCTGATTCGGAGGCCAAGTTCACATGAGTAATACCCCGGGTGTAGGAGCGGCTACAGAGTCATGTCAAGGTGGGTTCGAAGCAGCTACAAGCTTGGTAAGCGGCTCTCCGTCTGCCTTCCAGGCATCTGGCATGGATCTCACTCGACCGTGAACACATTTCATAATATAGAAACAGTCACCTCGCACGGAAAGATAGCCTAGATTAACTAAATTATGCATTGTGTTACCACAAAGGACAAATATTTACTGCACCGTTTTTGGGGGATAAAACCAGGTGTGGTTACTGACAAAGAAGAGATTAGTAATAATAAGGTGAAAATAATACTTCGTTAGCAAGGACAATAGAGAGCAGTTATTGTAGATACAAAGCCTTTAAAGGCAAGTACATTTAAGCCAATAATTTGAGTACAGGATCAGAGTCATCTCAGAAAATGTTTCTTGTTTTTCTAGGCAGCTTTTCTTTCACACGCTGATTGTGCTAAGTCTTAAGGTGTGTATGTATATGTGTGTGTTTTAAACCCAGCAATCCTGCAAATACCTTCTCTACAGCATTTGTTTTGTCTGTGAACTTGAGGTTCTGAAGAAGTATGTTGGGTCATCTCATGCCTCATCTGCTTGCTCAGTATTGCTGCACACATGGGATGCTTTTCCTGCTGTTTAATTCTGTCTACTTTTCAGTGATTCAGGCCAGGGGACTTTCTTCTTCATTTCCAAGGGTTTTGTTTTTTGTTTTTTGTTGTTTTTTTTTTTTAAATGAAGTGCATTTATCAACAACTGCATGCACATTTTCTAAAATCGCTGCTGCTGTTGCTAATATTTCATGACCTTGTGTTTCACTCTCCTCAGTGGTCTAATCATGAACTCATTGTAAGGCCAGGAAGTAGAAATGCTACCACTGAGGTCTGCAACTATCGCTTCATCCTGATGGTTCCTCCTCCCCCCGACTGTCGCCCCTTCCCCACACTTTTTTTTCAATGCCCAGATATGCTTCCAGTCAAAACTTAGGGATTTTTCTGGAGCCATTGTTATAAAAGGAGCCAGAATTACTTAATTTGGAAAATTAGCTATGTCATAAAAATCAGTAATAGGCCCGAAATGACCACAGGCATTTCTGTGAGTCACAGGGCAAATGGAGCAATGAATATCTGCCTGCAAACAGTGTAGCCAACAAGGAAAGACGTGCGCTGTTACTGGCGTGAAGAAAGGAGACTCCGAGGCAGAGTACTTTTACTGCGAAGATCTCTGATTTTTCCTTCCCTCTTCTGCAAGCTTATTGTATAGATGTGCCCTGCTGGGTTTTGCTGTGTAATTTATCCCCAAGAAGCAATCTTTCACTAAAACAGAGTCACATTTTGACAGAGATTGTTTATTGCTTTGAGAAGATCTGGGGAAAGATTCTGTTTCTTTGCAAGTGCAAGTTAGGCAGAGGCCGAGTTTGTAAAGGTGGGCTGTCCCACTGCGTGCTCAGCACATAGTTGGTCCTCATAATTAGAGTCACCCCACCTCTTTCTGAATGATGTATGGAGACACAGGGATCGATGCCACCTGAGTTCATTATAAAACATTCTGAGCAGCCTCAGGAAATTCTAATCTCGTTGTACTTCTCTTTAACCAGAGAGACAAGGGCCTTTTTATTATCTGCTCACTTAATCTTGGTGAGACTTATCCTGGTGGAATACCAGTAGTCCCGATTAGCTGATTTCTTGACTCTAATAGCAGAGGTAAATCTCGATGTTATTGTCTCCAAGAAAGGAGTTTTGTCTAAAGGATAACTCAGTTATCAATTATGATAAAGATCTATTGTCACTTGTTTTGTTTGCAGGTGTCTTTAATAAGGCTTCCCATAATCCCTTCAGGAAGAAATATTTTCTCCTTTTAAAAATAGTATTAGCTAAATATAAAAGCTCTGATCCCTGCCATTGTTGTTGATTCTTTGAGGGACATTTCCCAACATTCGTTGTTTAAATGGTTGTCAGGAGGAATCAAGGGAAACTTCATAAACAATGCAGTAACTGGTTCATCTTACTTTGTGTGCAGAGGCCTTTCTCCAAAGGATTTGCATGCGATGAGCAGACTTTTGACTGAGGTATCACTAGGATCATTTTGAAGTATTTGGGCCCTTTGCTATATTAGCAAGCGAAGATTTTTTTTTTTTTATTAAAGCCACAAAAATGAATTTAACCTGCCCTCAAATAAAGGCCAACAAAAATCAAAATGTAAATTGATTACTTTTTTTTTTTTTTTTAAGTTGGTTAGGACTCCGTAAGGATAAAAACAACCCAGTGGTGTTCTGAGACTCTTAATGGAATCATGTAAAGTTAAAATAAACACTATTAGGGTAAGCACATAGAATGAAAACTAATTTTCCAAATCAAATACATTATATTCAATTCATTTTCCCCAATCAACCAAATGTTTAAAACCTGTTAGTTATAACAGCAATCTTCTGGAAATTAATTAGAAGCCTATTAGCTCTGCTAGCTGAGCCGAATGAAGAGGGTTGCTTGTTACATTTCTAAATAGGCTCCTGAATTAAAGCAAAGCAAGGTCAAAATGACAATCAGTTTGACTCACCTCGTGGCGTTGCTTAAGTAGTTTATCTGGTTTTTGTTTGGCCTTTCTCAGGTGGGTGAGAGGTTTTTAAAGGAAATTTTACCTACGTTGACTCAGTCCTCTGAGAAATTTAAAAGTTTTAAGTATTAGGGAAAACATACAGGTTATCACGAATATTACCTGTGTGAACAAGCGGCACCTTCCCAATTGCATGGGAATCTAAAAGGGAAACAACTTTCAGACCTCTTTAGAAACTCTTCTAAAGAGTGTCGTTAGCCTCTTTCGGAACTGAGATACTAGAAGGTTGCCTTGTTGCCTTTGTTTCTGATGTCAGTAGCAGAATCAGCTCCTGGCATCAGGAAGCCCGCCCCGTTTTAATGTCTCACATCTGGTTCCTTGGGTAAAAATGTTCTGACTCTGGCAGCCCCGGGGAAGCTCACAGAAGCTCACAGATCCTGAGTCTTTCCGAATGTAACAGGTGAGTTTAATTGAAACGGTTGAGTTTTAAAAGGACTGGGAATTTCCTTGTCAAGAAGTTCCCCTTGGTATTATCTTGCAGGAGATGTGGGCCTTCCCAGTCTGCATATCCTCTACATCAGGTATTCCCGAGCCAGAAAGAACTTGGCAGGATTTACATAGTAACGAATAGAACGCAAACTGAAATCTAAAACTGAGATACCTTCCTGAATAGGGAGTTAAGCTTTCCACTTATCAGAATATTCAGATTAAGACTGTCTTGTGCAGTGTGTGTGTGTGTGTGTGTGTGTGTGTGTGTGTGTGTGTGTGTTTCCCCCTTACTAAAGATACGTATATGATCATGCATTTTTTGGAGAGTTAAAATCAAATCGATATAGACATAATGGGATTACAGTTATCCATGTGAGCTTTTTAATCCATATTACGCATGTTTGATTGCTTTTTCTGTAAGACAATGATAGTTTTGTTGGTTTTGTAAGCAAGAGTTCAGAAATGTGAACCATTGGGTTAGAACTTCATTGTTTTTCCAGTGGAGTCTGATGCAGAGAAACTGGGGAGAGACGGGAGAACAGAACCTTCCATTTGAGCCGTGGTGGCTAGAGTCAGTAATACTCTGTAGAAGCAGGTCAGAAATCAGGGGCAGATTTTATTACCCCTGAGATAAGACAATTCTGTTTAAAACCTGAGTACATTTGCTGACCAGGTAGAGCTTATTTTCCTAACTTTGTACCTTGGACTTCAACAAAAGATTTATATTTGTGTAAATATTTGTAGGGTTTTGTTTGTTTTTTTATTTTTTGTTTTATTTTGTTTGGATAGTTAGCTGTTCCTAACCCAGCTCATGGGAGACTGTGACACCTTGGATTTTGAAATTGTATGTCATTTCCTGTTGTCCTGTGTTAGAGTGGGGCTCCTGTGTGGGATTTGGGAGCCCGAACTGACCTGGGCACGGAACGGTAGTGAATGAAGAAAGTTCGATTGTCGACCTTCTATTTTGGAAGGCTGGGCCAGAAGTGAGGGAAATTTCTGAGTACATTGTAGGAAATAAATGATTCCTACGATCCAAAAAAACAGCAGTCTGCAGGTTACCTCAGGGTTGCCCTGGGCTTATCAGATAAGTTAGCCAATGGCTGGCAGGGCACATCTGGCTTACCAGTGTTGTTCAGACACGTTTTGTTTATTTGCTTTCATGAAAATTGTAACAGCTTTGAGTATTAACGATATTTTTAAAACCAAGTAATCTATCAAGCCAGATATAGTTCTTCACATGTTAAAACTAAATGTCTTTACAAAAATAGGGATCAAATACAAATAGTGTCAAGATCTTCATCTAGACCTCAAACATGACAAATCAATGATGAATAAGACTTTTGGCCTTCAAAACGTGATGTATTTGGGTAAACAAAAGCATAGAGTTAGTGATTAAAATGTCCATTTTTGAGTGTTTGGCTGACTTCCTAATGCCATAGCACAAATACCAGCAGCATAAATCTAGTCTTTAATTTTCTTTCTTTCTTCTTTCTTTCTTTCTTTCTTTCTTTTTATTAGAGAATGCAAACTGGAGGCAGGGCAGAGGGATGGAATGAGAGAGAGAGAGAGGGAGAGAGGGAGAGAATCTTAAGCAGACTCCACACTCAGCACAGAGCCTGATGTAGGGCTCAGTCCCATGACCTTGGGATCATGACTTGAGCTGAAATCAAGAGTTGGATGCTCAACTGACTGAGCCACCCAGGTGCCCCTAGTCTTTAATTTTCTTAAAACAATGATTAATTAATAAAGGTACCAAGAAAATATGTAATATTTTTAATATTCTAATAACAT